TTGTACGGCCCGTCGAGCCCTCACCACCGCCTATGCCTTAGCCCGTTGCCGACCCCCCCCCCCCGGCCGCCCGCCACGTCACTGCCAACCGCAGGGGCAGCCGCGGCCTCTGCCGCGCTGGCTCTCTGCCTGCTCGCCGCCTGCGCAGCCGCGCAGCAGGGCGGCCAGCCGGGCGACGGCGGCCTGCCGGGCAACAAGCAGGTCTCCCCTGGCCTCAGCTACGTGCTTTTGCGGGAGCGCATCCAGGACAGACTGGACCTGGAGGACTGCAGCGCCATCTGCCAGGTGCGCCCGCGCGGCCACGTCCCGGGAGCCCTGAACTCATGAGCCCGCAACCCGCGCGGTGCACCCAGAGTTTCAGAAAGTGGGGCAGGACGCAATCCCCGGGGTACGTCGGCGCTCGCCGTGCTGCCGGCCTTCGGCTCGTGGTCGCCGCCGGTGATTGGCAGCCGTAAACGCCAACCCGCCGCAGGTGGAGGTTGGCTGCATCGCCTGGACGTACCGCCGCTCGCTGCGCACCTGCTACTTTGGCTACGAGCTGTGGTCGCGGGCCCTGGTGCCCAGCACGGACGCCGTCAGCGGGCAGCCCAGCCAGGTTGGGCCCAGGGCTAGAGGGCGGGGGCGGGTGGCGTGCACGTGGGGCGGCGGCACCGGGAGCTTCTGTGTGTTTTTTGGCCCCGCAGCTCCAGGGGGGACATGTCCCCTTTTAGCGGATGGCCTTGCAAATACATCTGACACATAAGGGGATCCGAAGTTGATTCGATGGTGCGGGTAGCCCCTCCCCATGGATTTCACACACAGCAAACCCCTTTGTCTGAGCAGTGCAAACATGCATGCACACACTTGCAAACGCGTGGGCACACATGTACACACACACACACACACACACACACACACACACACACACACTCACAGTCGCACTCGAACACATTTTACTCCCCCCGCCCTTACCACAACCCTCACCCGCAGGTGTTCACCCCCGACAGGATCGACTGCACCTCCCAGGTCGTCGTCGGCGGCGACTACACCTCAGGGGAGACGAGCCACACCCAGACCCCGACCGTCGGCGCGTGCGCCATGCTGTGCGCGGGCACATCCATCCGGCGCTGCGTCGCGTGGACGTGGCGCCCGGCGCTGCGGAATTGCAGCACGACGTACACGCTGACGGGGCGCGTGACTAAGGACAAGGACGCGATCAGCGGGCTGACGGGGTCCTGCGGGCCGTCGAGGCGGCCGCCGGGGTACGGCCGCGCCGGCATTGGCATGCAAAGCAGCGGCGGCGCCGCCCTGCTCGGCGTCAACGGTTCGGCGCAATACCCGCCGTCCAGGCAGCGGGCTTACGTTCAATACGGGGTCCGCCAGCGCACCCCCAAGCCCGCGCCCGCGCCCGCGGCGCCCGGCGGGGCTGCGGGCGCGGGCGCGGCGGCGCCCGCGTCGAAGCTTACCGTCCCGGGGGAGCTGCAGGCGGTGTGCAAGAAGCTCTCCCTCGACGCGGCCTTTGACAACGCGATCGAGGACGTCTCGCAGTTTGCAAAGGATATGGAAGCTCAGGTGGTCACCAAGTTTGCGACCGACCTGACGGCCCGCAAGGAGGCCGTCCGCACGGCGTTCAAGGCGGCGCTCAAGGGCGTGGCGCCGGGCGACAAGAAGGCGCTGGAGAAGGCGATCGTGGGCGCGGTGGCGGCGGTGGTGCCGAGCGCGAAGGGCGGCGCGGTGCTGCTGGATGGGTGGCGCGTCGGGTTTGCGAATCTGATGTGGGAGTCTCTCAGCACGGACTGCTTTTAAGCGGTTACGATGGCGGCCGGCGGTGGGCAACGGCATCAAATGCACACCTGCTGTGCTGCGGCGCTGTGGGCTGGACCAGCCGTGTCATCCCAGATAGAGAGTGGCGGGACGGGTGGGACGCAACCCTCACCCGCCCCTGTGCACAGCTCGTTGCGCCCATCGCACCGATCCTGTGATCGGCCGCGCAAGAACTGTGGTTTGTGACGGCCCAATGCCAGGTTGGCTGCCAGGCTGTACCCCACAGCATGCCTGCCAATCATGGATGCTTTTCCCAGGCTGCACATTACATCCGAGGCTGCCATGGCAGCCTCGGCCAAGGCCAAATATGTGTACTGCCATCCTCGTCAGCAGCCTTTTAAGATTTAGGAGAACCCCCAAACCCTGTACCCTATATTTAGGAGAAACCTTAAACCCTGTTTGCGTCCCATGTCCACCTTGAAGTGTTTTAGAGCTGCGACCTACACAGCGCCTGTGGGCCGGCGCGCTGCCCCAAGCTGAGATGCCCTCTGTGTGCTGCCATTCTGCCACCCGGGCTTGCTTTGCGCCCTGGGTTTGTTGGGCCCCTCGCACGCGATGCAAAGCCCGGGGCATTCATTAAGGCCGTGGCCTGCCGCTGTCGTGCCGGCGGGGTGCCTGGCAAGGCCTTGGGCCGTACCGACAGCGCCGACGCCAGCCCCGCAACCAACATGCGCCACATCAGCGTTTTGTGTTGCAGCCTATGCATTTGCAAGGAACCATACTGTACCTACACACATCAGCGTTTTGTGTGCCAACCTATGCATTAGCAAGGAACCATACTAGCATCTACACACATCAAGAACGAACCATGTGCCAACCCATGCATTTGCAAGGAACCATACTACCATCTACACACATCAAGAACTGTGTAAGCTCCCTCTCAAACCCGCGTGCGCTCTAGTAAAAAACCATCGTTGCTGCTGCCACAGCATGCCGGGTATTGACATCTCCCTTGCTTTAGTAGTCTTTGCCGGCTCCTAGTTGCAGGCAGTACATGCAGACTTGGGTGCAGATGCTGTGTGAAGGTGGGGTGTTTTTTCCTCTGCATCGGCTATTACAGCCCTTGCCAGCTGTCGCCGTCATAGCCCTTGCTGGATTCACACGTGCAATTGTTGGCGCCGTGCGACAACACAAAGTAGCCCCATCGCATCCTGATTTGAGTTAGTCCCTGGCCCATTCGCAAGCCAAAGCGCACGGCGCTGTTCCAAATCACCTCCCATAATATCGAGCAGCCCAGATACGTAGACCGCTGTCATCCATCCTTTGGAGGAGGCCGCAGCCGACGTGGGCCCCCAACAAACCGTGCGCGGCGCCTTGCAAGCATCATTGCTTGGAATATTATCAGCATTCATGGATTGGTGGTGGCTACAGCCACCGTTTGAGGGGTTTGTCTTCTGTGCAGCTCTTGGTTTCAGCGAGCGGGCGTGGGAGCGCCGCTACGCTTACTCACGGGGCGCGCCACGGGGAGGCGGCTGTAATTCGTGCCCAACGCACCTTGCTCTGTCGTCCAGCCACCTGCGCAGGACCATGGTTCGGGAACGCGCACCCCCCCCCTGCCCCAGCTCAGGCCCCACACGCGCAACTCAGCCACAACCCTCCGGCGCGTTTCGCAGCAAGATATTCTGCGCCTATGCCTACGGCTCAGAGCGCAGGACCAAGCCACTACCCACATGCCGCAAGCGGGTCGGATTGCGCATGGTCAAGGCGCAGCCCGCCCCGGCTCGCGCGCAAGGGGCGCCGGCGCCCACCCCCTGACCGGGGAACCGCTCATTGAAGACGCAGTCGATATGAACCAGGCCGAGCGCACCCGGACGCTGAAATCCACCGTGGACTTGTGAAGGGCATGCAGGCATGCATGGCATGCAGCGGCAGGACAAGAAAGGAATGTACGCAGGGAGTGGGAGCGGCCTCGAGAGGCAAGGAAGGAGGGGCGGCGCTGTTGCCGTTGTCGTTGCCGCAGATGACGCCGGGCTTGTGCGACTTTGACATGAGAGGTCCTTGGACTCATCCCTTACTTGTTGATCATGTGAGGGAGCGGGGTGGGCATCCCACAATCGGGTGAGCCCTGAAGGGTCGCGGGCAGCAGAAGGAAAAAAGAGTAGCAGCGGCAGCAGCGGCGCAGCAGCACGAGCAGCACCGCATCGCGCATCCGCATACGCCCCAGGCACCATCGGCCCTGTGGCAGACTAACCTTCTTGTATTGCGGGTGGATTCGCGGGCCACGGGAGCTCCCAGCACGAGCAACACAACACGTTGTTGAGGCGTGATTGAAAGCGAGATCGATAATTGACCGCGATGACTTGAGGGTATGCATAGGAAATAACGATCAGGTAATACAGTATCAAAATATATACCTTCGATCGCGTTGGAGGAAGGGGCGAAGCTTCTTGCTGCTTTCCTTTGGCAGGCTCGGGCCGCGCCGCTGACACAGCCGTCTGGGCAGCTGGAAGCACCCACATCGCGCACGCGTGTACAGCCGTCTGTTTGCCCAGCCGCATGCGTATTAGGACCCAGTGCATATAAACCAAAATCGACGCCACCCCTTGGCACATGGAACACAAAGGTAGGCGGGCGATCAAGTACTGTACTCATGTACTGCAGGTGGACGCCCCACTTCTGAGACAAGTGGCGTTGCAGGCTTATCACGCCGCAAACAGCTGCCACACGCATGCTGACGGCGCGGTCAAAGTACCGCAGGCAGCTCAACCCGGACCGGCTCCCAGTTGCAAGGGCCAGCAGCCTGGCTGTTGTTGGGGGCGCAAGCACAGAGAGGGTCAAGGGGACACCTGAACGCGGCTCGAGCGTCAGACGGCATGGCAGCTTGACAGGCTGACTGCTCTCGCACACTGTACAGCGCACCAAACGGCGTGCCGGCCTGCGCTCGCGCTCTGCTGGCTCCTGCCCTGTACTGCTCCAGCAGTCCCGGCGAAGCGTTTGTCCAACCCCGAATGCATTGGGCTGGTTTGCAACCCTCCTATGACTGCTACCATGTATGTCGCTGAAACCCCTTCTGCCAGCCGAGCCCCGTCCTTTGGCCCCTGCGGGTCTGCATTGCTCCTCCTCCAAGACGCCAGCCGGGGCCTGCCCACCTCCATCAATTGCAAAGCAGGAGACCAAGAGTATGCCCAAGAGTTTGTCCAAGAGTATTTCCAAGAGTATGCGCACAGCAGGAGTCCGACAGTATGATTACAAGGCACGTCACGCCGCGCGCAGCGCACCCTTGCCAGTCAGGTGGGCGTCAATCGACACAACCCCGGGAACGCCGCGCCCGGCGAAATCAGTTTGAAGGCGGGACGGGCGTCGGCGGGGGCCGCCGCGGCGAACGCGCAGGCCGTCGACTGAGTGGGGGCGCCGCGGCCGGGTGTCCACGCCGGGTGTCACTGGCGGGCGCCGCCACGGTTGCCTGCCGGCACATTTCTGTACAGCGGCCGCCGCCAGCCTTGCTGCTGCCGGCCCCTATCTCACAACACGTTTCGCGCCCTCGCCCCCACCCTCGGCTGCCGCCTTGGCTGCAGCGCCCGCCGCGCCGGCTGCGGCGCGATGGATGCGCCAGCCAGGAGGCTGGTGCGCGGGGTGTGGCGGAACTGCAAAGATGAACAAGCTGTCACAAAAACCGCCTGAAACAAGGCCAGGAGCAACAATCGACAGTCATAACACGGGGAGCATCCCTACCACTACTCTACCGCTCATCCAGCGCCGCCGCTGCCGCCGCCGCCGCCGCCTGCGCC